GGTCAACCATTTTCCTCTATTCTTTTAAGAGAGGGTTTCTCACTGAACCGTGGCTGTGCTGGCTGGCCAGTGAGCTTCAGGGACCTACCTGTCTCCACGCTCCTGCTAACACCAGCACTGACATGTGCAGCTATGCCTGGCTTTTTTTTTTTTTTCTTTAAGAATTTAAAATTTTTTATGTATATGTGTTGGTGGGAAAATGGCAAGAATGGGCAGGTGCTTGTGGAGGCCACAAGAGGGCGTCAGATCCCCTGCAACTGGAGCTAAGACAGTTAACAAGCCTGTAGAACTCAGGAATTACACTCTGAAGAGCAACAAGTGTTCTTAACTGGAGGTGGTCTCTACAGTTCTCCTGCTCAGGGATTTGAACCCAGGTCCTCCTGCTCACAGAGCAAAGGCTTTTCCTCACTGAGCAGCTTCCCTAGCCCCTTATACTATTTTTTTTCTTCAGCTCTTCTGTTTGTTTAAATATCTTTCATAACAAAGAGTTAAGAGGGAAATTAGGAATGCAGTTTAGGTAGGAGAGAGCTTGCTTAGCATACACGAAGTCCTGGGTTCGATCCCCAACACTAAATAAGCGCAGTAGTGGGGGTAGAGGGTTAAGGATCAGAAGTTTAAGGCCATCTTCAACTACTTAGCAAGTTTGAGGCCAGCCTGGGCTAATGAGACCCTGTTTCAGAAAATAAAACTTTTCCTTTCTAGGAACACTGTGTGTTTCTCCACATTTTTCATCTACTCTTTTGCATTTCTCAATACATTTCTTTTTCTAAACAGCAGCCATCGTGTTGACAATCTCGATGCTAACAGTAAATGAAAGAATCATATTTTGCTAACTCAGGCTATGTGTTTTTGTTTGTTTGTTTGTTTGTTTTTTGCTTAATCACTCATAACAGCACCTCAGAAACTAGAGAGAAAGTTTCTCCAAGGAACTCTGAGGTCTGTCTTGGGACTCAAATTCTTCAATTTATGCTGTGTCCAGCACCACACAGTGAGAACTGCCTTAGATGTTGCAAAGGGAGAGAAAAAGTGACCTCATATTGTACTTGGCTTCAGTCTCTCAAGCACATATGATTTTAGGAACTTGGTACCAGATTACTACTGTAAGAACCTGCCTGCTTGGCCAGTTCCTCACAGCCTTCTACTCTCAATGTTTAATTCTTAAAAGAAATTATGTTTTAAAAACTTTATTAGTGTGTGTGCTACATATGCCACTGTTTGTGTATGTAGGACAGAGTCAGTTTTCTCCTTTTACTTTGTAGGTCCTTGGAAACTCAGGTCTCCAGGCTTGGAGATCAGTGTCTTAACCTGCTGGACCACCTAGCACGACCCCTTCTACTTTAAGTATCTAAAGGGCACGTGTTCATGAAATATGCAGCAAACCAGTGTCAGGAAATGGAATTTTCTCCATGTATGACAAGACTCATCTTCTTGTAAGAAGAGAGACATCAGAGTTCCCCTCCTTCATACCCCCCAACTCCCATGCCTGTTGGGAGATGAGGACATAAATACAAGACATTGAAAGATGGTTGCCATCCACAGGCTGAAGAGGTCTAACCAGAGACCAGCCCCATTGGCATGTTGATAGAGACGGTAAATTGCGCTACAAAAGGCACAGATCTATTTTGGTATAGCACCCTTCCAAAAGTAATGCAGTTTTAGGTGCTGGTAAGCTGGGCGCCCCTTTAACAATGTGGTGCTGACTCTGGAGTTGAGAAATGGGTAGAGACTTTAGGAGCTGCAAGGAACACGTTTATAAAGAGCCGAGCATGCCTTGAGGCGTGCAGAAATGCAAAGGTTAGGCGATTCTAGCAAGGGCTCAGTCAGAAAAGAATGAGTCAAAAGTGTCTTAGTTTCAGAAGCCGCTTATATTATCATGTACATGAGCTGATAAAAATATAAGCATTAATGGTAATAAGTGTGATAGCTCATGTCTATAATCCCAAGCATTCCAAAGACTGAGGCAGAAGGATAGCCATGAGTTTAAAGCCAACCTTGACTGTTTCCATCCATCCGTCCGTCCGTCCGTCCGTCCATTCGTCCATCCATCCATCCCTCCATCCATCCAATCAGTGTTGGCAACCGGAAACATGTTATGAACTGTGCTGTAGTGTTCTGTGCAAAGTAGAGACTGCAAAGAACACACTTGGGTACTGTGCTAGGGTTGTGTTGTTATAAGAAAATTCCCTCAAAGAAACAACTAAAAGGAGGAAAGAATTATTTGGACCCGTGGTTTCTTTCCATGATCACTTGGCTTCATTTCACTCAGCACTATAGCAGGACAGAATTATGGAGGGAGCGTGGGGGAACGAAGGAGGGTCTCGCCTTCTGGCAGCCAGAAAGTGGAGAGGGAGGTCAGGATGGAGAAGATAGCCTTCAAAGGCAGGTCCCCCGGGGCTTACTTCCTCTAAGAAAGGCGGACCTCCCATTCAGAAAGATGAACCCATAATGAGGTTAGTAGCCTCATGTTGCTAACCTCTAGAGGGTGCCAGAAGCTGGGGACAAGCCTTCCAAACACATGGACCTTCAACGGGGACATAGCAGGTATGCGCTTGGCTGTGGAGCCTCCTGGGTGGAGCATCCTGATTTCCCTATGTTGCTTGTTTAAGTGCAAGATGGAGACACAGGAAGAGACATTTTCAGGAAGAGACAAAGGAAAGGGATTGTAGTAAGAACCTGAACTTGCTGTTCTGGCTCATTCTCTGCCTCTTCTTTGTATTATAATGAGCACCATGGTAGAGAGAACTTGAAAGATTGTGGCTGGACAACTCTCTCTCAATCAGTCAGTTTCACAGATGCTGAGAACACAGAAGGGATCTCAGGATTCAGTCAGGAAATAAAGAAAGGCTGTCAGCTCCCTGCTCCTCCTTGAAAACATGGGAGAACGATCCTAAAGACACTTCAGTCTTGATCAGGCCTTCCACCACAACCCCAGGGCAATTGTGTTTTAGAAGACAGGGACCTCCTCTTCTTCTTCTGCAGCCACACTCTGGCTCTGACAGAGAGCTGTGGAGTTGAAGGGTGACCCTGTTGTTCTAGCTGACCTGGAGGCCGGACTAAATTTTCCTCCTCCTACCCATTCATATGTTGGAACCCCAGCCCCGGTGTGACTGTATGTGGAGATGGTGCCCACAAGGAGATAATAAGGTTAAATGGGCCCATGAGGATGGCTTCTCACATAGCTTTGGCATCCTCAGAAGAGAAAGACAGCAGAGCTTGCTCTCCCTACATATAGGGATGGGGCCAGGTGAAGACACAGATGTTTACAAACGGTTGGAAAACTTATCAGGAGCTGACCCGGTGACACGGTGGGGCTTGAAATTCCAGCTTCCAGGACAGATGACTCTCTAACGCTAGTCACACCACTTGTTGCCCCGGGGTGACAAAAGCAACTCTCTAAGCCGCTATCTGCTCTTCCATCACAGCAGATGGAGAGAGCTCTTTCCAGTTCCTGTCCACGGCGGATTGTAAGGCTGGTCTCATCCTCACCCCCTACAGCGACAGCCTTGCTCACCCACCCCTGCATCATCTTCCAGAGAGTTCCCAGCCTGACATCTTCAGTTATGCTATCTAGCTTGGCCCAGAGGTTCGGGGGAGGGGGGGAAAGGAACTGACAAGTGCAGGCTCCAGGCTCAGCTTCCAGAACCTCCCATTGAAATGTTTGCTAAGCAATCTTATACAGATTACTCCTGGATTACACTGTCTCTGCTCATCGTTCAGCGAACAAGGCACGTTGCATCAGGCTTTGTAGCTTTGCAGATGCGGGCCAGAACTGAAACCCTGACATTAGCCCTGCGGCTTTGGGTAATGGACTTAACTTTTTGCAGGTCTGGTACCCTCCCCGGAGAGAAGATAACAGAGATAATGCTCATACAGACCCCTTCCAGATGGTCAGGCTAATGATCATTGTTATTCTACACGTTGTCTCGCGCAGTCCAGACTGGCCTCAAAAGCACCATGTAGCAAAGAATAACCTTGAACTTTTGAACCTCGGGCTTCCACCCGCCGAATGCTGGGATTAGAGTGGTGCACCTCGCTACTGGAATTACGAGGTGCTGGGAATGGAACGGAGGGCTTCATGAGTCGAGGACTCGTCACCAGCTGAGATCTATCTCCAGCCCGTAGCGGATTCATTACAAGATCATTTATCAGGGGTCCAAGCACCTGGGGAATATCAATAAAAGTCCTAGGTGTTTGCTACTGTAATTGTCTTAGCGACACTCATCATTATTCACAGTTTCCATCTTCCGTTCCATCCCAAACCCTAAACCCAACCCAACTCCTGCTCCCTCCTGCCCCCCCACCATACAGCCCAGGGCTTCCCTCCTCCGTGATTGTGTCGAGGCTGTTAGGCCTGGCATTCCGTTTCTGCTCTTCTGGAGTACAGTCCTGTCCTCTTGGGATGCTGGATCAGCAACCACCCCTCCTCCCGCCCCTCCCCCCTAGTCAGAAGGCATGGACTAAAGGCCCAGATTGGAGTACTGATAAGAAAACAACTCCTTTTAGCACTTCTTTCTTTGCCTTGGAATTAACTCTTTCAGAGCCTGACTCCAAGAGTGGCCAACCCTGGGAGGCAGCGCTGGAAGGTGTTGGTCGGAGTCGCCCAAAGCTCTTAGCACAAAGCGGGACAGAGTAAACTAGCAACAGAAGTGGGGTCTGAATTAACCCTTTCAACCCCAACCCTGTAATCTCCCCAGGCCTCAAGTGTGGTAGATTACTCCAGAAATGAGGATCATCCCTTCCCCTGGATTCCCTTCACCTGAGTCAGTGGCGATCCCAGGGGTCTTAGCTTGCTCCTCCTACAGCTGTCCGGTCCCTCCACCCTCACCCCTCCGCGTGGCGCCTCCCCTCCTCCATCTCCAGGCTGAGCCCTGAGGGGCTGGGGGCGGAGCGTCTGGGCTGTAGGCTGGGTGGCTTTTAGGCCAGCGGTTGCTTGAAAACCTCCGCCGCCGTTAGGCCGGGGGCAGGCGATGGCAGGGGACGTGTGACCGCGGACAGGGAGAGGGCCACCGCTATCATGCCCGGGCGCGCGGGCGCCGCCCGGTTCTGCTTGCTGGCTCTCGCTCTGCAGCTACGCTGGCCGCTGGCGGCGTGCGAGCCGGGATGGACCACAAGTAAGTGGCAGGGCGCAGCAGAGTCGTGGGGTGGCTGTGTGTGTTGGGGGGGTGGCCCCGGGGGTCTGGGAGTCGCTCTTGCAGGCCTGGAGCTCTATGACCTCTATCCCTGCGCGCTCTGCCACTCCCCGGGGCGTGAGTACTGCCACCCTCAAGCCTAAGAGCCCAGGCTTTGTTCTCATCCTGTGAGCCCAGCCATGGACCTGGTGCTCGTACTGAGCAGTCAAAGCAGTGGATCCTCTCGCTGTTTGCCTTCCTTTCTCCATCTCTTTCCCGTTTTCCTCCTTTGAGCTTCTCTTTCCGCTGCTCTGCCGGTCTTTGCTCTGTTTTCTCACGGTTGCTCATCTCCGCTATTTTGCGCCCGCTGCTCTAGCAACCCCAGAGCATCCCCAGAGGAGCACTCCAAGCACCCTATGCACGATCGATGGGGGGTGCCACTCCCTGGATCTTGCCGGGGGGGGGGGCAAATACATGCCAGTGGGGTAGAAAATTCAAATGCTTCCAAGAGATTAAGGTAGGGTGGTTTACTGGGTGTCTCTGGCTGTACACTTAGCATCCCTGCGATGGCAGCGACCCCACTGAAAGACGATAAAAGGACGACGCGCACCCATTATTATGAAGATAGTAAGTTGAAGTTTACTACAGAGAAAATTGATATGTATAGGTACGCCCCACATTGAAGACCTCCTGACACTGGAAACAGGGGCTCTCTTTTCATCTCGCTCAACTCCCGCCTCCTTTTGGCCCCAGTTTCCCCATCTGTGAAGAAAATGGGATGGGCTCTCCGCAGTTCCAGTTTGGATGCTGGATGATGTCTGTTTCTCACAACTCTTTTCCCAGACACCACTCCCTCCTGGGCCGCATCCTTCAGAGGCTCTCATAGGATTTTGCGGAAGGGACGGTCCCGGAGGGGCAATGCCTGGCTTCTGTCATGTTGATCCGCCAGAGCTTTAGCTTTAGCTCTGCAGCAGCTGGAGGGCTGGGCTGACTCCAGAGGGGTGCTTGCTGTACCAACTGTCAGCATTTTCAAATCAAGCCCGGAGTACGGGTCTGGGCAGGCCATAAACCCCCACCCTTTCGAGAACCTGATCCGAAGGTCTTCCCCACCCTGTGCTCCAGCCGGCAGGTGAAGCCTTTTTTTCAAAGCTCTTGTACCAAAAGGGAAACTGAGGCACACGGGACTTCACAGAGGAAGAAGGTGGTTCTTTTTTTTTATTGGGGCTTGGGGTTCCTTGAAGAAGAGGGAGCCAGGTCCTGTTCAAGTCTGATTTTTCCAGCCTAACATGCACACAGAAGAAAGGCAAGGAAAGCAAGTTTCACTGGATCCTGGGACCCCTGAGACACTCAGTGAGGCAGAGTCGTTGTAGACCTGGAAAGAAATAAAAATCTACGAGTAGTGTAATGACCTTTGATCCCCAAATGAGCTGTTGCTATTAATATTTTGCTTCCCCCCATTCCCGTCTTCTATGACTATATCCTGATGAATTTTAGAAACATAACATTCTCTCTCTCTCTCTCTCTCTATCTATCTAAAGGTACTTCCCAAACCATGACGTTTTCCAAAACTATGATTTCAATGACTATAAATTCTACCAAGAGACCACAGAAATATATACTTTCCTCAGAGTCAAATTCCTGGCTCTCACACAAATGAGACAAAGATTTTTTTCTTCAGTTAGGAGGTGGCAGAAGCAGCTGCTGAAGCTGGTTAAAAAGCCTTAGCAGAACCCTGGCGATCGAGGGGATTGGTGCGGTGAAGTCCCTTGGTTGAGACAGAGAACTCACGTAATTGTTGGTTATCTCTCCGCTCTCCTGAGGACTCTTGAAGCTTTGTCTGTCACAGGTCCGCAGTTAATGTTAAACTTCACCGAACAGAGGCTTTCCCCTGCAGGCAAATAAGAAAGCCAGAGATACCACTGAAGCCATCCCTTTGGTAAACAGTGCTCCGGGTCTGACGCTGAGAAGATGATCCCACGTGCTTCTTGATTTTTCTCCCCACAAGTTGTGAGCAACCCTTCTCAGGCTGCATTGGGTTCTTAAGCTGTGTTTGTTTAGACTGGAGATTGCTTGCAGTACTGCTCCAGATCCTGAGACCTTTAGCCATTGTCTTAGACACCAGACCGCCCCTTTTGTTTAACAGTCCAGGTTTATCAGTCCTTACAGCAGGGACTATGGCTGACTTGTTCTCTTTTGAATGTTAAGCAGCTAGCATAGTATCATAGGGTGAAGAGCTCGGACTGTATTGGGTAAACATGACAATGCATCTCTCTCTTCTGATTTCTAACAGTGTAAGTAAAAACAATGAGTTTTTTTTTTTTTAAAGAATACTTTTGAGTGCAAATAGTAGCCATTTAAAAAGAAGTTTAGCCAATGGTAATCCAACCACTCCAGCTACCTATAACTTTCTTCTTGGAGACAGGATGCTATGTAGCCCTGGGCTGTCTTTGCACTCACTGTATAGCCAAGATGGCCTTGGAATGCCTGGTCTTGCTGGAATTACTGATATGGGCCTCAATGTCCAGCACAGCCATCTTTTGTATCGCTCATTCGAATACTGTGGTTGGGTTAGAAGGAACAGAACATTGGGGTCCTCTGAGACATCCCTGGGATTCTTTGGATGTACCCTATCTCAAAGACTTACTTTGCTTAGGAACCAGGAAGTTCTCAAATGTTGCGATCTCCCATTCTTGAACACAGCTGTGCTGTGGTTTCCAGCTTCTTTTCTTGGGAACTCAGTGCCTACCTCCAAGAGTAGTGAGGAAAAGGGAGGTGAGAAGGTTGGAGACTAGGAAGTGAAATACAGTGCAGACTCTCCAGTGAGAAGGTCAAGCAAAGGCTAAAGACTTGCAAGCTAATGCTGATGGTTTGCTGGTTGGTGTGAGGGGGGGGAAGAGTGGTCAACTTCACCTTTATTCTTAACCTGTGGCTCTGTAAGACCTCTCAGGGAGGTGAGTGTTATCTTCAAAGAGAAAAATTAAAGTTCAGTGGTGACAAACATGAGTCCAGCCTTCTGATTATAGCCAGGATCTCAGTACTTCATCCCTGTCCACGATGCTATCCAAGTCAGAGCCACCTTCATCTCGTACCAGGGCTCCTGTGCACCTCCAGCCTTGCCCACCCTGTTGCTTCTACTCTGTTCCCGTCCCCTTCCCCCATTCTCCATTCTCCACCCAGCAGGCAGAGTCATTTTTCAAAACAAAACAAAACTCATACAGATCATATTGCTCTTGCATTTTCTTCAAGACACCCAGAACCTTCTGAGTCTAGTCATAATGAAATCCAGACCCTCTTCCTGCCGATGTGTTCTTGCACTCACAGGCGTCTCACTTAGCACATTTCTTACCAACATCCCCTGATTTACTAGACTATTTACCCTTCCTTGCTTAGCACCTTTACCCATGTCCGACTATTTCCTTTTCCTACTTGTTCTTTAGTGAGGCCAAGCCCATGTCTGCATATGGCACTCTATGCTTTTCCTGCAGATTTTTGCACAACTGTCTTCCTCTGGTGTCTTAGGTTTAAAACAGGCACCCCGCTAAGTGTCTTTTTATCCTGTGGCCTGATCTTATTTTTCTCCAGGGCAGTTAAGCGCCACCTGAGAATGTCTGTTCATTTCCTGTCTCTTGCCAGGGGCACAGACCTTGTTTGCCTTGTCTTTATCACTTTGTCACCAAGGCACAGTAGAGCTCAGCAGGTCTTCTGACACCTCTGTGTGGAACACTTTCCAGGCAGCAATGGTGGCCTCAGAAGCCGTCTGAGGCAGCACTTCAGCTTCTAAGCAACACCCCTTCTCTTGAGTGCCTGGGGGTGTGGAGGTCTGGGAGTCTTATGGTTATGCCGCTTCTGTTGGCAGGAGGCAGTGAAGAAGACGACCCCCAGCTTCAGCATGAACTCATAATACCTCAGTGGCGGACTTCAGAAAGCCCTGGGAGGGGAAAGGTAAGATGCTTAAGCTCCTCCATTGGAGAAGCAAGAGTGGTGCAGTTCCCTTCCTGAGGCCTGGGGCTCCCCAAGTGTCCCCACTGGTCCCCACTTCTGCTTCTGGCCCTAACCTCTTGATGTGCCAAACTTGGGATATTTTAGTGGGGACTTTCCTTCACTATATGACCAACTCATAGACCATTCCCAAATCCTTCTAGTTGAGGAAACGAAAACTCTCAGTATTAATACTGACACAAATTGGGGCTAAGAGATGGCTTAGCAGTTAAGAGGACTGGGGTTCAGTTCCAAGCACCCACATGGTGGCTCACAATCATGTGTAACTCCAGTTCTAGGAGATAGCCGGCAGGCAAAATACTCATGTACACAAAAAATAATAAATCTTTAAAAAATATTAACACAGATTGAGTGCAAATGTGATTTTTGTCACAGATCTTGACTGGAACTTTTGTTTTGATTATGTTTCTGTCTTTTTGATTCCTAAAGGCAGGATCTCCTGTAGCCCCGGGTTGGCCTCTAACTTGCTGTATAGCTGAATGACGTCAAACTCCTGTCTCCATTACTGGGATCTAGGATTACAGGCATATACCAGGGCGTCATTAGGTGTCATGCCCCGTTCTCTTCTGAGACATTCTTTGGTTATACCTTAGGCTGACCTGTAGTTTCTCTATCTTCCTGCCTCTGTTTCTCAAATGCCGAGATTACAGTGTGTGCCACTTCACCCAGTTAATTTTTGTTTTTAAGCAAGAGGCAAGGTAGGGAGCTAGGATTAGGTTATATATCTCAAAATAGCCTACTGGTCCCTTGGGCCAGAACACTAGCCAAATGCACAGGTGTTACCAAGGCAGTTGGGACATGGCTGAGAACGGTTTTCTCTTCCACAGAGAGAACCCGTATTCAGGGTGTCCTTGATTCTCATTCTGAGTTAGGGATGATAGAAAGGGAAAGGGAAATAGGATTGTTGCGTGATGGTAACCTGTTCTATGACCTTCTGCTTTACTTTTGCTTCCTCATTTATAAAATCGGTTTTAGTGGGAATAAAGAGGAACAGAGTTGTGCTGACTTTCTTTTTTGTCAGGGTCTTGCTACATGTCCTACTCTGGCCTCTAACTTGAGCCCCCCCCCCCCTTTGCCTTCCCAGTGCTGGGATTGCAGAGATACGCTACCATGCCCACTTTGAAGGACTGGTTTCTATGATCTCTTAAGAGCCAAATGGCCTGTGATTTATTGGGCAACAGATAGGAGCAAGATTAAAGCCGGGAAAAGAAGGGTCAGGAAAGACTTCAGACAATTGTGGCCTTTGAATCTGGAAAGATAAACAGATGAGAAACGCCCAGAATTCCTTAAGTTACTGTAGAGTCATACAGACATGGCCCTCAGCTTGGAAGCTTGGGCTTAGTGAGGGAACTTACAGAGAAATTATAGGACATCTTACCCTAAAAGCAAAGACAAAAAAAAAAAAAAAAAAAAAAAAAAAAAACACATTATCCTAAAATTGGAAAGGCTGAAAAAAGCTTTAGGAAAAGTTAGGCAAATTAATGGATGGCCATTCTCAGGCAGATTTTTTTTTTTTTTTTTTAATTTAAGGTCTTGGATATTTCATCCACCACCATTATTGCAGAAGAATGGATAAGATACTTTTTATAGAGACTTCTTTGTTCCTTCCAGATGTTGGATGCTGGGCATCCTCAGGAAGAGCCTGAGAAACAAAGTGGAGGACAAGATCCTGTCTTTGTTCTTAGCCATTGTCTGCCCAGAACGTGGCTTATTGTATTCTGTAGACATTGTCAGCCCAGTGCCTGGCACCATAAATATTTGTTGAATGAGAGAGAGAGAGAGAGAGAGAGAGAGAGAGAGAGAGAAGAGAAGAGATGAGAACGTGTGTTAGTTCACTATGATTCTTACTTGCATTGACTAATTTGTTGGTTTGTTAGGCATTACTGAGACACTGCCTGTATATGAACTCTAATAGAGATTATGGACGGTGCATATATACAGGACAAGCTTGTCAGATGCTATGTAGCTGGAGATCTGTTTAATTTTCCTTTAGACAGAAAGGTCCTTCTTTGTTTGGGTCCTTCTTTCAGGAAAGTGCAAACACTCGGCCACCTTCCAATGCCTCCCAGGAGGTATAATGTTGTCCCTTTCTCAGGCAGTGTTGGAGTTCCAGGAGGCAAGCCGTCTGTCGTAGAGCTGGACACGGAAGCTTCATAGAGCTGTGAAATGCAGTTTCATTGTTTTGCTTGAACTGTTCCCTGGAAACAGGGACCTTCCGATTTTGAACCTCCGTATCTGAGCACCCTCCAGAAACAGAAGTATTTTTGGATTACCTACATAAAAATAAAGATTAGTTCTCATGTGGCAGGTTGTGCCTCTGTAGGAGGCTCAGGGTGTCACTTGCACCGTGCCAACATTCTTTTTGTGTTTGGGATGTCACATGGGTGTCTGCCTCTTGGGTAAGGACTTGCTGGAGTTCTGTTGCCATGCACTCAGATGGCCACTGGGACCGTGTGTCCTTGATTCTCAATGTGACTGGGCAGGGCTGTCACTCCAGATGTCCCCAGGGCAAATCCACAAATGGGCAACAGTGAGCACCGCCGTGTGCTCAGTCAGTGCTTTAGAATCTGGGAAATGAGTGTCTTAGTGAAAGTGCATGGCCACCCCGTCTGTCTCCCTGCTGCCTGGGTTTCAAATGTCCGCTCTTAAGATGAGGCAACAGGATTAATTAGGCAATGCACAAGGTACTTGATTGGAATGTTCAGATCTCATCAGAGGCCTTTGTGGTCTGAGAGTCTGAAGCCTAGGTCCTACTTGGAAGCTGGAGGAGCAGGAATTAAGAAGGGAATGTAATTGGGCTGGGGGTTCTCATGCATGCAGTATACACATACATGGTAAAAGATTTTAAAAAATGGAAGTAGTGAGTATTGTTGGTTCATTTTAGACAGTCTTTTTTATTTTAATTTTTTGGCTTTTCAAGACATGGGTTTCTCTGTGTAGCTTTGGCTGTCCTGGACTCAGCTTCAGACAATCTCTTTTTTTCTTTAGTCTTTTTTTTTTTTTTTTTTTTTTTTTCTGAGACAGGGTTTCTCTGGGTAGCCCTGGCTGTCCTGGACTCACTTTGTAGACCAGGCTGGCCTCAAGCTCACAGAGATCTGCCTGCCTCAGCCTCCCTAGTGCTGGGATTACAGGGGTGTGCCACCATGCCCGGCCCTTAAGAGTTACTTTGTGGGGGCTGGGAATCGAATCTGGGTCTTCTAGAAAAGCAGCCAGTGCTCTTAACCACTGAGCCATCTCTTCAGTCCCTCAGACAATCTTATATTGCTGTGTTAGTTTAAAGATTTAAAAACTCTTGGTCCAAGCTGGGCGGTAGAGGTACACGCCTTTGATCCTAAGACTGTGAGTTTGAGGCCAGCTTGGTCTACAAAGTGAGTCTACAAAGTGAGTCTAGGACAGCCAAAGCTACACAAAGAAACCCTGTCTTGAAAGATCAACAAAACAAAATAAGAAAAACTCTTGGTCTATATTGTCAAATTATTTTTCAGACAGTTGGTTTCAGTTCAAATTCTCAGTCCTAGGATCTGAAGGTGCCTACTTTACAGCATTGTAATTTACTGTTTTAAATGGTCTTCATGACTTTTGATTTTGTTTAGGATATCCTATTTCTTAATGTTGTTTTCTTCCTTCTCTTTTTCTTTCTTTCATGGGGAGAGGAGGAAGTTTACCTGTGACGTTCAGCACATTCTCATGCCTGTTGGCCATTTACATGTCTTAGGTGATCTGTGCTGGGTATATGGTGTGTTGGGCCATTGGCAAATTGTTAATGTGTGAAACACACCCGTTCCTGGACTTATAAAACCCTAATTTGTAGTGCTTTTTGTTGCTGCCCCTGAGGTGATTAGGGTTTCCAAATTGAAGGCCAAATAAAATAAAACAAAATATAAAAGAACTCAGTCTTCTTTTTAAAGATGAAAGCCACTTTAAGAGAGAGTGAGAGCTGCCTTTGAACTAGGCACCATGATAAATCATTTACATTCATTTTCTCATCTGGCCCCTAAGGCTCCTTGAAGGTTGGTTATTACCAGCCCACATCAGGAAAGAGGAAACATGGTTGTAGGGAGGCTTGGTAACACAACCACAGCACCCCAATCCGAGGTCTGACTCTCCAAGGAATTTACTCCTGGTTGGGAGTGAATTCACAAGGCTGTACCCACCTGCTCAGCCTTGGGCCTCAGCTTGAGTTTCTCTCCTTTGCTTCTTGGGAGAAAGCAGATGGGGAAGAGTCATGTTGTTTTGAGGCTGAGGTCACTTCGAGGCTAATGACCTTTCCTCACTGGCTTCCGGAGGATCCCTGGGCTGGCATTGTGTCAGGTCCACTGTGGAGCCCTGGGAGCCTGAGTCCCTGCTTCCAGGAACTGACATCCTTTTCATTGTTGTTTTTAGCATCCACTCACAGCGGAGCTCAGGGTCACAGCTGAAGGGCGAGAACTGATCCTGGACCTGGAGAAGAATGAGTAAGTGGACTTCTCCCTGCTTTTGTCTGACACAGAACAGTTAACTCACTAACTCAGTGATGCAGGTGTCACAGTTGAAAGAAGTTTAGTGGCATGGCCCTTGTGCTCACTCACCATCCTTGGTCCCTTTGTGGGACGTCTTGTCAAGATAGAGCTTTTCCTTGGTCTCTTGGCTGCTGGGAGATGGCTGGGATGTTTCACATCCTGCTTGGATTTCCTTAGACTGTATTTCCGGTGCTTCGTGGAGTTCACTGCTGGCGTGTGTGTGTGTGTGTGTGTGTGTGTGTGTGTGTGTGTGTGTGGTGTGTGTGAGTGTAAGGGTGGGAAGGGACTGGAAGCAGCTGCAGTCCCAGCTCCAGCCCAGTGTATGGCAGGAAGTGAAGGCGATTAGAGGGAGACAGGGAAAAGTAGCAGGCTGGGCAGGGATCTGGCACCTTTGACCCTGATTCTTTCATCTACCCAAGATTCTGCTGAGAAGTGTGTTGCTTGAAGCCTCCTGCCTTCCATGGGTCCGACTTTTCCCTAACCTCATTCATGCTGGGCGGTAGCCTAGTTCAGAAATATCTGCACATTGATCTGCCTTCCGGCATAACAGTCTCAATTCATGGATGAAGGGATGAATAGAAAACACTGCCTGATGGTGTCCATCGATTGATTTGCCCATTCTGCCTTCAGCCCCATTCCACCTGGCTTCCCAGAGCTCTTCCTGCTTGGCCAGGGACTCTGAAAGCTTTTATAATTTCCCCACCAGTGGTCCCACTTTCATCGTCCACATCCACGTTGTAGATAAGGATGCTTGGTTTGGAGAACTGCCCGTGTGCTCTTGGCAGCCTCCGAAACACCCTGGAAGCTGATGAGTAATGAAAGCCTCCCTGCCAAGAAAGGGCTAGAGCAAGGCCTTCCACATCCCAAAGGGTGGGAATGGCTGCTTGGCTTGGGTCTAAAGGGAGAAGAAGGGTTTATTCCAAATTTGGGCTCTTTGGACCCTTGCAGAGAAGGATCCCCAGTGTGGTGAAATAGGAACATACCCACTGGTGGAGGGACAGGGTGTTTTGTGACACTACTCTTGGAGAGACGTGAGCAAACACCTGCTTACCAATGACAGACCAAAGTAAGGTGGTCCAACTTAGTGGACCAGTAATTTTTATTGGGGTTACTTACAGTAATGGGGGTGAGGGTTACCTAGAGGCACAGAAGTGATACAAAAGACAGCAGTATCACCAAAGCCCACCCAGCTTGGATAACAGCTCATGAAAATTGGAAGCCTGGAGTTCACTGTATGGCTTGCAGGGAGCTCAGGTGGTCTGAGTCTGGTTCAGGTGGCTGGGCTGGGCTGAACTTCTGGGAGGGCAGTAGTCCTTACTGCTTATATACTGTTGAAGAGGGAAGGACCTAGTGATTCTGGTCATTTTCAGGAACTTCCTTGAAGCCTTGAGTTGCCTAATTCCCGAGTTTAATGAGCGTCCAGCAGAAGCTGTGACTTAAAGAGGTGGGGTTGATCATGGAGGAAATTACTACATAACACAGGGCCCTGTACCCCTCTTCCTTCTGCCTCTGGGACACCGGCTTTCAGCACACCAAAAAGATGAGTGTCACTGTCAGGTTGATTCCTTTCCCCCAGAGCAAGACCAGCCTTTTGCTGGTTTGCTGGAGTGTTTCTTTCCTTTTAGTCCCACCCACCTGGCTGGCTACTTACAGTGGGACGTGACTCCTTGCCAGGGCTTCTCTCCTACAAGGCCCAGGGAGGGGTGGCTTGTGCTTGACCTCTCTTAAGGATCTGCTTTGGGGCCTCACTGGCTCTGCTGAGTAGCTGATTCAGTGTTCCCGATTGCCACCTGCATGGAACCTCCTACCCTTAATCTCCCTCCAGTCGGTTGGACTGATGATACTGTCAGGAGTAAATCCTTAGCTGGATGAGCCAAGCAGGGACCCTTGGGTCCTTGTCCTTTTTCTTCTGTGTTGGAACTTCTGCAGAAATCACAAGAAGTTAGAATTGGAAGAGTTATTAGGGTGGTTCTCAATCTGTGGGTCGATACCTCTTTGGGGGTTGAATGACCCTTTCATAGGGGTTGCCTAAGACCATCAAAAAACACTGTTATTTACTTTACAATTCATAACAGTAGCACAATTACATTTACGAAGTAGTAATGAAATAATTTTATGGTTGGGGGTCACCACCAAATGAGGTACTGTATTGAAGGGTCACAGTATTAGAACCACTGCTCTAGAGACTACTGAATGCTGCAGCCTCCTGTCCAAGTATACAAATTTCAACTCAGAGAGAGGCGTTTGCCTAAGTCACCTAGCAAGTATATGAGGAGGGCGAGCAGAAATCGGTTGTATTCTTGGCTTGGATCTGGAGTTGTAACACGTGACCTAGGCAAGCTGTCGAAATCTGAGAAGGGATTAGTAATGGCTGCCTCATGGGGTGGTTGTGAGGAATGGATGGAGTGGCCAAAGCATATAATGTGAGCACAAGGAGTTGTAAGGTACGGTGATTTATTTTTTAATTAATTAATTAATTAATTAACCAACTAATTAAATAATTTTTGAGACAGAGTTTCTCTGTGTAGCCCTGGCTGTCCTGGAACTCGATTTGTAGACCAGGCTGGCCTTGAGCTCACAAAGATCTGCCTGCCTCTGCTTCCTGAGTGCTGGGATTAAAGGCGTGAACAACCTTCTCCTTAAATTTGTGTGTGTGTATGTGTGTGAGCACATGTGAGCAAGCAGAGGTCAGGGGGCAGCCTTAGCTCTCATCCCTCAGGAATGCTGCCTACCTTATTCTGAAACAAACTCATTTGGCTAGTCTGGCTGGTTAAAGAGCCCCGCATGCCTGTCTGTCCTTCCTCATCCCTGAGATTACAAGTACCTGGCTTTTTTACTTAGGTTCTAGGATTGAACCCTGGAAGGCATGGCTTTCCTGAGCAGGCCCTGCTGTGAGTTTTAATACTCCTGAAGTGCTTGGGGTTTCTTACAGGTGCAGTCTCTTGTTTGCGCCTGGCCTGCCACTCCCAGTGAGGCCTGTGGGTCTAGATATGGCTCCTGGCCTCCCTGAGTCCACCAGAGGGGCTAGAGACTTGACCAGAATGGAAGCAGCAGAGCCAAGCACCATGATCTCACCAGGTGTCCCTGGGGAAGGACTTCCTGCTATTTTCATCCAAACTGGGCTTTTTGTTTTTGCGCACGTGTTAGAGCTGAATCCACTCCAGCCGCACACAACTTCCTGGTGTGTTTAAACCCACCCCCCCCGCCCCCCAAGCCCTTTCATTCATAGTGCCAGCAAGCCCAGATTCAAAACAGCTCTGGGCTGAATTGTTTGTTTTTTTTTCCTTCTGAGTTTTCAGGTTATTGCGCTAACATTTCTTACTTCCAGTGGTAGCTAAGGAATCTAGGCCTTGTGCTCAGACGCTTCCCAAGCCCGTTCCCTGTACCCTCTTGGTAGAGTCCTCCGCTTGCTGCCCACCCGTTTTCACCTGCGATGTTCTGTGCATTGGTGTAGGGACTCGGTACCTGGGGGATGGACTGTGGGTAAAAGAGTTCTGCCAGTGCGGAGCTCTTGTTGCGGTGAGAGGGAAAACAGTTAAGTGAACAGTTGGTGTACAGTGTATCAGATAATAAGGACTGTATACAGGAAGCCAAACACTGGGCTCAGGAAGAGCAGGGGGAGGGAGGGAGCCCATGCTGATAAACAGTGGTCAGGAATGACCTTGGGGAATTTGAGGGGAGACCTGCAGGGGTGAGGTGTGGAGACAGCTGAGGGAGTGGTTGCCAGGGGGGACGGTCAAGTTCAGAGGTCCTGTGGACTGTGAAAGATTCAGCATCCCTGTCAGCACAGTCCTGCTTCTTTATGTCTGCCCAAACACCGAATCCTCCGGCCTCCCAGGAGCCATGAACAAGGCTTCTGGGACAAAGGTGAAGGGAAGGATATTGAAATTTGTTTTTCATCACTCTGAGGTGTCTGGCTTTTTCCCATCAAATCAAAGTCCTCGAGCTAACGCACAGCCCGAAATAGCAGTGAGCGGGCCTTTAATGGAATTCACACATGGAGAGATCATCGCCAAGAATGGTGAGGACTGAGGAGCAGGGGGAGGGGCCAGGAGATGTGGCAGGCGGAGCTTCAGCAGAGTCAGCAGCCTGGGCATCATTTTCTCCACTTTGAAGCAGCTTAGGGTAAGCTAGTGTGCCAACGCTGTGTCTGGTCACAGCCCCCCGTTTTGTTTTGTTTTTTTTCCTGTGGAGTGCTGGCAGAGAAAGAAATGACACCTGTGAAAAAATGAGCACATGGCTTCACGTGGGGTCTTACACTGAGAAGCTGCCACCACCATTTAGCAGCTACATGTTCTCTTGAAGTCTCGGTCCGTTCTTCATCCAGGACTGTAATCACAGTCCTGCGTCACAGAACCACGAGGAGGCTGAGATGCTGCAGTGTGTGTCAAGGACCTAAACCCGGCGTCTAGCTCATGTCGCACACTCGGCAAAGGGCAGCTATTATTATTTCTTGCTCCAGTTTGCAAATTGCACAAGCGGGACATGTTCATTGTAAAACACATAGCAGTGTCAAGTAAACAGAGAGGCGAGGGTTTCTGGCCCACGGGGAGCATTCACTGCTGACTGGTAGGAATTTTCTAGACCTTTCCTGTGCCTGTGAGAACGTGGTGACTGTCACGCGCAGTCACAGGGAAGCTGATACAGACTTTTAGGGTAGCTGGGGAAGAAAAAAAAAAAAAAAGGGCAATCTAAAAAATATTTCTTGTTGTTTTATGTGAGTGGGTGTTTTACCTCCATGTATGTATGAGCACCATGTGCATGCCTGGCGCCCTCAGTGTCATCAGATCCCCTGGAATTGGAGTGACAGGTGGTGGTCAACTACCGTGTGGGTGCTCCCGGGTTCTCTGGAAGAACCCAATGCTCTTAACCTCCGAGCCGTGTCTCCAGCCTCTAACCAGATACACTATTCTGTTCAAATTTTTTAATACACACCTGAATGTCATGAAAACTGT